ATTACATTTTGCGTGTATATCTCTTATTGCTGTCGGCAAATTATTCGGACGTACACCAATCATTCCATCGCTATCAACACATGCGCCTAAAGCGAGATAGCCCGTACAGCAAAGTGCATTAAAGGCATCTGACCAAAATTGTTCGAATCGTGCCAGTGTCGGTCGTCCCTGTCACAATTTCATTTTTATCTCCAATTCCCATCTCGGTTACTTACACAGACTATATTCAAACATTGCGCTTCAATAAATCGCGGACGAATGTATAATACAATAAATAAATAAATCATGCAAAAGAGCAAAAATGAACATAAATTGATTTTACGTTTGGTCGAATATAAAATTCGCGTTGGTGGTTTACGATAACAATAAAATATTCAATGGAGATAAATGAACACGAAACAAATTGAAAGATTAATCAGAACTAGTCGTGAAATATTTCGTGGACTTACGTGAATGAATCGCGTAGTTATGATAGACAGAGACTCATTTAGCATCTCTGAAAATATGCGCTGTGCCATCTTAGGCGATACTGTATTCCATAAATCCGCCTTAGTACCTGGAAATATTAACATATCGTTTTTGCAAAACGTTACTTCGCGGAACATCATAAATTTATTTTCATGGAATATTAGAAGAAATTATATCATGAAAAACGAGTCGAGTGCTTTACCTTGCATGTATAGCCACCACATTTGTATAACATAAGAGCATCGCTCTCTTTCAAAGAATGGTTTGTTGCTGTGCCAACTGAGAGAATCCGCCTCATTAAGAATGTATAAGGAAATTAATCGACAATGCAGATCGAGCAGTCTCTCTGCCACAGCTTCGGCCATTTCGTGAAACGCTTTATGAGACTTATTAATCTTTTCACTATTAGAAAAAAAAGCGATGATAAGAGTCAAACAAAATCTTATATAAAAGTACAAGTTACTCGACTTTAAGCATAAGAAGAATTAATATAAATAATTAAAAGTTATTAAATTTAGTTTCCTATTAAATTTTAAATATAATAAGATCAAGAAAGAGAAAGTGTATCATTTTATAAATTTAATAGTAGGTACTCACAATAAGAAATAAAAAATATGTGTTAATTTTAAGAATTAAAGAATTAAATTAAATATTTTTTTTTGCTGATATTATTGTTTGCAATATCATTACTTTAAGGTAAAATAAATGTTTTTTTGTTTCTATCTATTACTTATACATATATTCATTTATAGTGTCGTGAAATCAATATTTTAATTTTTATACACGAAATCAATATTTTCATTTTTTATACGCAAAATTGTATTTTATAAATTGTGATAAATATGATAGAAAAACGTCGTATTGTTAATGTCAAAACGTTAATTTTTATGTGATTGGGAAAACTATCTAAATCTATTTTATGCAGCTATCCTTGGAAAAAAATTTTGGAATATAATAAATTGAGATAAAAACCTATAAAATAGAATGAATGTAGCTTTTGTAATATAAAGCACCTTGACTGAGAAGAGATTGTTCCTTTTGCATGCTGATTGTAACACCATAAGCAATTACGTATCAATGCCGCTGCACCTAAAGTAGCGGTGAGCACAGTGAGATCAGCGTGATCCAAAGATTCTTGGATCAACATGTGTAGATGTTCTAAAAAAATAAAAGTTTTAGAATACTGCATCACTTGTTCTCTTCAAATACTTCAATTTAAGTCAAAATTGTGTCATTATAAAAAAAAATTATTCAAAATGTAAACGCAACTTCCTTGCAGAAATGATTTATTCAATTAACTTAGTATCAAATTTCTCTAACAGAAATTTAATCCAACGATGAATTACGGAGCATATTCCTTTTATTGTGTGGAGGCCTTAATAGCTGATGTTATTGTATATTTGTCACTTTATGTTAAAATGACATATGTAACGACATGGATATTTTTTAAGTAAATGTTAAAATTTCTTCTTAAAAAAAATTCAATACTAATTAAATAATTCGCTAGTGATCTTTGCTTTTTTAAATCTTATTTTTTGTATTTTAACGCCAATTAAAAAAAAATTGTTAGTGAATTAAACATCCAGAACATAAAATATATATTTTTTATTTAAAATACATATAATTTATAACAGTTGCTAAAAGTAAATCATTTTGTTATTTAATTCTTAATTATTAGAATATCAATACAAATATTAATAATTTAAAATGTTTTTTTCTAAAAATAAATTTTTGTAATAATATATTTACTTGCTTTTATAAATTGATTTTATAATATATCAAGATTTTTTCCATATGTATGTGTTAGTTAAATTCTAATATTTTTATATACTGTAAAAAAATTCTTCTAAAAATATAATATTATTTTAAATGATTTTAAATTTATTTAGGATTTAGGATAAAATTTTGTTTATAATTTTGTGTGTCATATAATATGAAAAATATTTAAAGAATTAAGTTACATGTAATGTGAGCAACTGCACAATATAATTTTTATTTATAATTAATTAAATTTTATGCAGCTTTTTTACAATCTTCTAATAGCTAATATTTTTGTCTTTTATTTTCTTAAGTACATGCTTATCATCCTCATACACCTTCTTGTAGTTCTTACTTTCTTAATTAATTAAGATAAATATTTATGTAGTTACATTTACATTTTTCATAACAAATTAAAATTTACATTATGAAATATAATTAAATGTTAGGAAAATATTAAATTTATAATTAATTGCTCCTTTTTTTTTACGAGCAATTTTTCTCAATTTTTTTTGTAATTCTATTATCTTTTTATACAGTTGTTTCAAATACAACATCTATTTATATTTCTCATCGGGAGTCAGGAGGAAGTATACCTAACAGTTGCTCGGCGGTGTCAACAACGAGCATGATAAAATCGGATGGCTGGATCCGTTTAATGACACCATCTTCACTATCGACACTGGATGAGCTTTCATTTCCGGAGGAACTCAAACCGGAAGGCCGCTTAAAAGCGGCCATGAAGTCTGCTTCCCACCATGTAACGATCTTAATCGCGGCAAACGAGGCATGCCGTGGAAAATCTAGCCTTCCGCCACTGATGCGTATGCAGAGGGGTTCTCTCAGAACAGTTTGCATCTCCTGCATCGGAAAACGTGATAGACTATGCGAGTATTAAATTTGTTTATTTATAAATTGCAACATTGAGCATCAGAATTAATTTTATTTAGGTATTCATAGTCGATTCTTATATTTAAGACTATCTTAAATACTTAAGATGTCATGAACCAAGCAGAAAGCATTAGCATCTTAAGACATTACTTAAGACGATCTTAAATAAAAAAAATAGACTATGAATACCGGCCTTAAAATATTCTCAATTTTAAATATATTATTACATTTTGATTTAAAATTAATGTCGTGCACGCTTCCCTATTGTGCGAAATAATGACACGTGATAATGACAAATAACTGAATTGCTCGTTTTGCATGTGCATCTATGCGTATATAACGTGCGGCGATTCTCTAGTTTCGAGAACAAGGCCGATAAATCAATCCTTCCTTGTAATTAAATCACGTCGTGCTATACGGCAAACGGAGTAATTTCGAAACAACGCGCTTTCGATGTATCGTTTTACGCCGCTCGGGAACCATGGATGTAATCTACGCGCTAAAAGCATTGAAGCTGATATCAAGCTGTCGCGAAAATCGACATGACAAATTTCATTAAATCACTCACAAACTGCAACATAGAAATTGCATTAATGGCACAAATTTATCATCTAATTGGTACCTGGTAATATTCCATATCTCGTTGTAACAAAATTCTTACGCGATCGACCAAATTTCCATCTTCCATAATCTCCATTTTTGAGCTCTGTCGAATAACATAGAAAACAATTATGCTTGGACGATCTAATTTAATTGATTCTTTATAATTTTGCTTGTGCACAAGCAAATTCTACGTGTAGTAAAACTGAAATAAAAAGTGACCTTTCGATGTAACGTAGACTTGTCGTTTATGTTTTAAATAATTTAAAATAAATACTAATTCTATCTTAAATCTTAAATACTAATTCTGTCTTAAAAATTTCAATCAATTAATTAATAATAACGAAAAAAATTGAAGCATATAAGCTGAATTGTTGAAGATAAATTTCAGCTCACTCTCTTATTTTCTTTGCTCTTACTCTTTAACCCATCAATCAGATAAATTATCACAAATAATTTATCCAGAGATGAAACAACCGATTTAAACAAATTTTAAAATAAAATAATAAGATCTGGCTCTCAAATTAAAGACAATATGACTTGCTTAAAAATACTATTCAAGATTTATTTCTCTCAGTAATCAATTTCATTAAGCACAAATCTCAAATTCATTAAACAATCTAATTAATTAATTGGAATCACGCTCATAAAAAATATAATGATAACGCGCGTGCACATGCACACGCACATGTACTCTATGCTGCGTTTATTATAAATATATTTAGTATTTACAATATAAAACGAAAATATATCAAAACCAATTTAAAATATGAATCATTTGTAAATAATGCGAGTGTATAAGTTGTCTTTGAAAAGGAATTACAATACAATATACACATATATATATATATATATATATATATATATATATATATATATATATATATATATATATATATATATATATATATATATATATATATATATATATATATATATATATATATATATATATGTGTATATTGTATTGTAATTCCTTTTCAAAGACAACTTATACACTCGCATTATTTACAAATGATTCATATTTTAAATTGGTTTTGATATATTTTCGTTTTATATTGTAAATACTAAATATATTTATAATAAACGCAGCATAGAGTACATGTGCGTGTGCATGTGCACGCGCGTTATCATTATATTAATATATTATATATTTATATATTTATAATTGTATATATTTTAAAATATATTAGTATAAAATATATGCTAAAATAGATGTAATATCAGATATATATATATATAATATATAAATATTTTTTCTTTAAAAAATAACTTATATTTGTTCTATGTTCCATATGCTTGCAATATAAAGTATAATAATAAATAACAACGTACACGTGCTATTATAGAAATTCATTGCCACTACAGTGCAAATATGCAATATATAACTTAATATTAAAATTACTTACATGAAGTTTCTTTAATCGTTGTTACTAATGCACTTATACTGATTTCTTATCTTTTTATATTAGTATTTATGTACAATTTTTGTAAATCAGACTTCCTTCATTAATGCCTAATAATCTTTATAATTATATCAAATAGATTATAAATTCGCGCAATTGTGTAATTAACTTCTATTAATATTATTTTTTAGAATTATCCATCACAACTTGTTTCTCTCTACCACTAAAGGAACATTTGTCAAAGCATACTTCAAATTTTACAATTGTCGATATTTCATGATTAAGTAATTCATGTAAGGTTTTGCCATCGTGTTTGTATATCCATTGGCTATTTACAAAATCATAACGTTTGGGTCCAGATTTTGGAGAGGAGAGCCAAATTTGCTTGTTCGGTGTTTGGCGGTTTATAACATAAGTACCATATGGCTCGCCAAATTTCACAGTTAAAACTCCATCCTGCAACAAAAATTTCCTTAGTATTGATAGATTCACAAAACAAGAATTATAAATTTTTTAATTAGTGCTATATGTAATATGGCAAATAGATTATAGATTCCCACAATTACATAATTAAACTTCTATTAATATTATTTCTTAGAACTATCACAACGTGTTTCTCTCCACTACTAAAAAAAAAAACAATGATTAGAAGAAACAATGATGAATGCAATATATACATACTCCATAAGACACATCAGCATCTGGCAAATGCACCACTGCTTCAATCAATTCCTCAAAGTACTCAGTTAATGAATCCAAAGTTTCATCACAGACTTTTTCGTATTGCACAGAGCTAAGTTCGCTAAAATTATACAAATAACAAATTTCTTTTTACATTAATAATACATGCAAATATTACACATTGTTGATTTAAAGTGTCACAAATAACGTAATGATGCTTACCTTTCTGTCAAATGCTTAGTAGTTATACTGAAATTTTTTATAGATAATTGCAATAACGTTCGTGGATTTCTCTTTGAAAAACGTATTGAATTGTGATTGACATAACCTGCAATAATGCTGATGGGCCTATTCAGTTGTAGAGTAGTTCGTTTTTTAATTGAAATTCTAGGAAGGAATAGACTGCAAGACAACCTTGGAATTATGTAAGATCTCGTCATAATGGTTAACATGATAAATAATCTCTCTTAACAGTTTTATCGATTAAACAAGTTCTCCGGTTAGTCTGTACAGTGGTAATAGTGATATTTCTTGACGTATGTTTACATTGCTGCGTCGGTATCGTCACTCATTACGCGCGGAACTATTTTATATAAATTAACATTAATTGCATTTTTATTAAATTTCTATATTATATTATTCTCTATTAAACTTTTAGTATTTTATAAACTTCATTTTCAGTTAAGAAATTCAATTAATAAAATAATTTTCTAATTAACTATGAAATAAATTAATATTTTAATAATACTCGGGAAAAAATGTTTCAATTATATAGATATATAAATTATGTATAATTATATAAAAAATTGACATATTTTAGATGATATTTGGTTCGTATAATCGTGCTGCATTCATAAACTGTGGAACAGAAATATTCATCTCTGCAATCTTACGTGTGCGTGATGTTTATTTTGCTTAAAAGTATTAACATTAAGGTTATCTATATGAAAATTTTTCTCAGAATTTTTTTTATAAAATTTTTTATATAATTTTTTTATATAATTTTTTTCAGAATCTTCATATAATTTTTCAGAATTTCTATATAATTCTCAGAATTTTTTATATAATTTTTCAGAATTTCTATATACTTTTATAACTTTTTTACATTTTTTTATACGAATTGAAATACTTAGAAAATCTATATTTTTTCTCAGAATTTTCCATACATATTAATTATGAAATATCATAAGATTTCTAAGATTTTTTGTAAGTATTAGGTGTTGGAATTAATTCGTAGCGTTTTACAAGTGATGGGAAGTACTTTCATTAATGTATTTTTTAATGCTCATGTGAAATAAATAAC